CGCGTCCTTTTTCTGTTCCTTTTCTCTCAGAAGAAAACCGAAAACCTTATCCGTCCTAAGATCTCTACCTAAGTCCATTTCTTTTAGATAAAATGTATCGGTCCTGTGATCTCTATATGTGACTTTTTCTATTCGAAAGAAGTCTGTCTGTTTCATGATTCCTTTTCTGAGGGGTTTGTTTTTCTCTGAAAGGAAAAATATTCATCTGTAATCCCAAGAAATCTACGTATTTCTGGTTTCATTATCATTAACTACATAATATGAGTAGCACGTTGATGAAGTCAGGCTTCGTCAAAATAAAGAAACAAGAAACCATTCTCCCACCCCCACCCCCACCCCACCCCTGTGGGCAGTTTTTACCGTTTCTTTTTTAGCTGATCATATTTTATGCCCATTTAGAAACGTACATTTCTGTGTGGATTTCACAGGGGAAAACATTTGTCAAAGACACAAAAACTGTAAAATATTCAGTTTTCAAAGACCAATTACTCAAGCTTTGGAAGTCACCAAACTTTAGAGGCAATTTTCCTGCTGATTTGTGAGGTGTGCTGACAAAAAGAGTTACTTCTCAGAATTTAGCCCATAGATACTTTGGACATAGATACGTCAGATTTATTGGTTGAGTTTATACAATGTATTTGTACAAAATGATAAAAGAAATGTTAAACTTGATGAATAAAGATTGTCATTGTCATTTGTCATTGTTTTTAGATTTGGTAACATTTGAGAAAGCCAAAGTGGGTGGTTGGCGGGTGCTCTGGTGTGGTTTGCTCCTTCTTTCCTATTAAATATTATCTATCGTCCTGATCTCTCCTCTTTCTGAACAAAGATTGTCACTGTCATTGTCATTGTCATTTATTATTGTCATTGTCATTTGTCATTGTCATTTAACATTTGCCATTTTTCATTTGTCATTTGTCATTGTCATTGTCATTTTTCATTTGTCATTTGTCATTTGTCATTGTTTCCACCCGTCAGGACCGAGAGTTACTGACAGCTCTGCTTGAGGTGATCGCCACGCCCTACAACTACCTCAAGTACGCCTACGTGTCCCACACCATGTTCCCAGAGTCCTTCTTCCGACTCCTCACGCCAAAAGTTCGACGCTTTTTCCAGACGTGAAGACGGTCGTTGTTCCCACCGCCCCCTCGTGCATTCGTGTCTGCCCACGAATCTCGGAGAACTTGGACAACACCACAACAGATACAATGGGACCTTGTCACTGAAGCATAGACTTGACTTATTATAATATCCCAGACCAGGCACTGTCATGGCCGCCACCAAAGATCGTGTATAACAAGATAGTTCACTCCTCTCTTTGAGCTAATTTAAAAAGTGTTCTCAAAATTCGGTGGCGCCCTCTTCGAAAAAGTGCGGACTTTGTCAACAGAGTTACCCTTCTTGTATGAAAAACAATCAAAATGAAACTAACTAACTGTGCTATTCCTATTCATCTTCTGGAGAAATGAAAGAGAGCTTCCAAACAAAGACTGCAGTGCCATCTGAACCAATGCACGGACTTCCGCGGACAATTTTTTGGTTGAGTGAACTATCTTTTTATGAACGATCTTTACCGCCACTCTTTGCTCTTTAAAAAAAAACTTTGCTGCGCTAGTGCGCGCTATGGACGCACAAATACGACACGTGAAGAGCAAAACAGCAGTCTTGCAATAGTCGAGTGCACGCGCAACCTTTCCCTCTTTGCGCTAGATTTGGCTCTAGACAGAGCCAAGTGGTGTGCTCCATGGAGAACATCAGAGCCATTTTGAAAAAAAAATATCAAAGCCGCGCACTTTTTGACGTTATCAATACAATTAGATTGCCGATTACCAAAATCAATACCATCCAACTTTTGAGTTGTAAAACACTCTAGTCTTGTGTCAGTCATGGTGATTAAAAGAGGAATGATACTGCCACACATTCCTTCTCTCGTCGTTTTACGATTCACCACTTATCTGAGTAATTTTTGGCACACTCACTCTACTCTTAAGGCTCAATGAAAGAAAGAAATCCGTAAATAATTATAATAAAAGTCGTACAACTGTCGCACACTTAGAAACCAGTTTCATTCTTATATTGCACGAACACCTCTCACTCACTTTGACAATTGACTCAAGTGGAAATAGGTTTTCTACACACTCTAAATTCCCTGGAAATAGTAGGCCACGGAGTAATTTTGTCAAGGACACTGCCACCTGTTGGGTGGAATCGGAAATATTATTGTATTGATATCGTCAAAAAGTGCGCGGCTCTGACTGTTTCGTGAGCTCCATGGTAGAACCAGTGCTGTTGGTGAGCCGGAGTGCGCTGTCCTGGATGTTATAATGCAACAAGTGTATGGTTTGAGGGAAACCGGGTGATTGGTGCGAACGGAGGAGTGTGACGGAGAAATTGTATGAATGTGATTGTGTTAGGAATAGCTTGATGGTTTGTCGGTTTTTGTTGGGTGGTGGGTGTTTTGTTTTTTTGTTGTTTTTTTAACTTTTTGTATTGTTTGTTGTTTAGGGGGGGGGGGTTGAGGGGATGGGTTTTTGTTTGTTTTTTGGGTTTTTTTAATTATTTTTTAAAAAATTAATGTTTGAAACAGCTCGCTGATTAGCTATTTGTCGTGTGGTACGATATTTTGACATGGTTTGTTTTCGCTTCGGTACTCCCAAGATGTAGTCATAATATGCTGACGAAAAAACTGAGTCTGAAACCCCAGTACTTGTTGTCTCTACTCATAGTTTCATGTTTGTTTTCCGTATCTCAATGTTTAGTTTTTTGCAAGAGTTTTGCAGCACTTGGGAAGGTTAAAAGTTAAGAATTGGTCTAGCATAATGTAGTCTAGTCTTAGTGTCTAACCGCCCTGACATACTGTCGACACGCTGGGAGGGAGTCACCATCAATGCCTTTCATCCCTGGCAGGGTATAGGCCACATACAAGCTTCTTCCACGTATCTCTGTCCTGGGCCATCCTTTCACCCCTGGCAGAGTATAGGCCACATACAAGCTTCTTCCACTTATCTCTGTCCTGGGCCATCCTTTCACCCCTGGCAGGGTATAGGCCACATACAAGCCTCTTCCATTTATCTCTGTCCTGGGCCATCCTTTCACCCCTGGCATGGTATAGGCTACATACAAGCTTCTTCCATTTATCTCTGTCCTGGGCCATCCTTTCACCCCTGGCAGGGTATAGACCACATACAAGCTCCTTCCATTTATCTCTGTCCTGGGCCATCCTTTCACCCGTGGCAGGGTATAGGCCACATACAAACTCCTTCCATTTATCTCTGTCCTGGGCCATTCTTTCAAGCTCGTTCCAAGTGAGCTTCATCTCTCTCATGTCCCTTTCCACGCATCTCCTCCATGTTTCCCGTGGCCTACCCCTGCCTCGTGCTCCCTGTGGGTTCAACTGCAGCGACTGTCTTGTGATGTTTCCGCTGGGCTTTCTGAAGGTGTGTCCCATCCATCGACACTTTCTTAGTCCTATTTCTACTTCTATATTATCCTTTTGTCCTGTCCTTTCCCACAGCTCTTCATTTCTTATTCTATCCTGTCACTTAATTCTTAGGATACTCCTCATACATCTGTTGATGAAAGTCTGGACTTTATTCAGCACTGTCTTTGTTGTCTTCCAAGTTTCGCAGCTGTAGAGGAGCACAGACTTGACGTTGGGGTTAAAGAGTCGAATCTTGGTGCGCAGTGAGATGTTGCTTGCTTCTGGAACGGAGTGCAGACCACATAAATATTGTGATACAGACTCTTTATAAGACAAAACTGAGTACCAACTGTGGAATTTTTTGACTAAGACCAATCTATGCGAACTAAAAGAATCATAGATATTATAATAAAGAGTCTTCACGAAACCACACTTAACAATTTAATTTTCGGACAAAGACCAGACTAGAATGGTCATAACTATGGCACACATACTTACAGAAACCACACTTAGCAAAATGATATGTGTGTGAAATCAGGCACTCGTCAGAATACATGTAATGAAATGGAAAGAACCGTCATTTTTCTTCCTGGCTGTTAGTGGCAATTTTTATAGAATTTATCAAATTTGTTGCAAATATACATGTCTGTGTTTGTGTAATGTACTTATCGGGTTATGAGACAATGCTAAAGTAGTACTAGTGAAATGTTCGGACAAAGGCTAAGCTACTTGGTGGACTGGAGTGTGCTCAAAACTTTGTGGCGCAACTTATTGTCAAATGGTCGCTTTTAAGGACAAGCGGGCTAACCCAGATGTCGAGGGTTTCCAAAAATCTTGACCTACAACAAAAGTGAGCATTGCCCTTCCTATAGTACACGTTTGGTTTCATTGGTGTGTGTAGTTGTTTAGCCATAGAGAATACTCTCCTTGAAACTGAAAGGGGGGCAAAACTTTACCTTTGATTTTCTCAAAACTGCATTTTTCGGGATAGCCATCTGGTGCTTATTAAAAGCGACCAAATATCTCCTCAACTATCGAACAAAGACTCTTCAGCTTCAACTTTTGCACAGTGACATGTATCGATTTGTCTTAACAGATCAATATTTTTGTAAACACTTGTTAGGTCTATTCTAGAAAATTCCTTAATAAATACTAATTTTAAAAAAACCCAGTGCGTGGTTTCCACTGATATTAAACGATTTACAGCTGGGACAATACCGCTTTTTTTTTTTTAAGTCCATCATTTTTTTTTTCTAATGGTGAGGTTGTGTTTATTGAACGCTTGTTTATAGAACTTTTTGTGCAAAAGAGTGTTCATAATAAAATTGAATTCTTGTAACTAGATCTAGTTTTGCCTCTAAAAAGAGTCATTGGCGAGCTGTGACGGAAGCCATATGCGTATACAAAATGTTTGTGAAAAGCAAGAAGTGCTGTGAACAATTCCATATTCCGCGTGAAAGAGATTTGTACATGTAGTATTTGATATAAATTTAATTTAAGAAGAAAAGTTTTTTAATCTACCCTCAATTGTTGTTGGAAATAATGATTAAGTTAAAACAAATTGATACAAACTGCTGTGCAAAGTATGGGTGACAGTGATTCAACCGCTAAAGAGATATTTGAGGATAAGTTGCGCAACGAATTTTTGACCGCACTAGGCTATAGATGAGAATGTCTATCTCATGATGCTTCAGTACGTGTCACGTATACTCGTTTGGCTTCGTCGTGTGTGTGTGTGTGTGTGTGTGTGTGTGTGTGTGTGTGTGTGTGTGTGTGTGTGTGTGTGTGTGTGTGTGTGTGTGTGTGTGTGTGTGTGTGTGTGTGTGTGTGTGTGTGTGTGTGTGTGTGTGTGTGTGTGTGTGTGTGTGTGTGTGTGTGTGTGTGTGTGTGTGTGTGTGTGTGTGTGTGTGTGTGTGTGTGACGTGCTAAGAAAATGAGTTACTTCTACTATTTTAGCCGTGTAGAAATAGATATATGTTGAACTGATAGGCTGAGTTTTTACGATTCATTAGTTGGAAATAATAAAAGAGTTGGTAAACTTGAAGAATATGACATCAGTTGAGAGTCTACAAATTTACTCCTTTTTTTTTTTTTGCCGATATCTCAATTTGTGAAGTGCTAGAAATAACTCATTTTGTCAGCACGTCCCACATATGTATGTCTATCTCATGATGCTTCAGTACATGTCACGTATACTCGTTTGGCTTCTTAAACCGAAGTCTGTGGCGTTTGAGTTTGATTCCTGAGTGGGGAGAAATGTTTATGGAGTATCCCAATCTTTCTACTGGGATGTAGTTGTATCTCCCCATTGGCCCTGACAGGCAGGGTTGGAAGCCCGCCTCCTAAATGATCTAAATCGTGTCGATTATGGTGTAAAAACACCTACATTGAGCGGCTTCTTCATGGCATGAATATCAAAAGAGGCTTGGACGATGTCTGAGTCTGATATGTGAAGTCTGGAATAATTCTACTACTTCTACTTTACTGATTTTTTTGGTGATTTTGTTTGTTTGTTGTTTTGTTTTGTTCATTCGTTTTGACATGGCAATATTATGATGTTTTTGGGGCTTTTTTGTTGTTGTTGGGTTTTTGTGTTTTTTTTATTACTGCTTTTTTATATCGTTTTCGTTCTGTCCTTTTTTACTTCACTTTTGGCTTGTTTTTGGTCGTTTGTGTGGGGTGTTGGGGTCTCCTGACAACAAAGATGTGGATGCTTGTTGTTTTTGGGTTGTTTTTGTTATGTTTTGTTTTTTTGGAGGGATGGGTTGGGGGTGGTTTGGGGAGGGGGTGGTGTTAGGTTGGGCTATATTATATTTATTCTTGATGCAATGACAATAAACGGTCTACCCTTAGGAACCAATTGCTATAAATATTATTATGGTAGGTGTGAAGATTACAATAGAGCAAATACTACTTGTACATATTTACATGTCTTTGACTGAGAGGAGACTCTAGTTTTATGTGTTTGCTTGTTTATGTGTGTTTGTTGGTTTGGTTTTATTTGTTTGTCTGTCTGTTTGTCTGTTATGTTACTTTATCAGTGGAACTTTATATGTTTTTCTGCGTTTGTTGGTTTGGCTGGGGTTTTGTTGTTGCTGTTGTTGTTGTTGTTTGTTTTGTTTGTTTTTCCGTTACTTATGTTAAGGCACTTCATCAATGGAACTTTGTTTTATGCGTTTGTAGGTTTGGTTGGTTTGGGGTTGTTGTTTGGTTTTTTTATTTGTTTGTTACGGTACTTCTTCAGTGGAACTTTGTATCGGCCGATATTGATATATATATATATATAATATGTACTTGTTGTGCTCCATGGACCATGTCGCAGAGTGTAGTTGTTTTCGTTTTTTTG